TTTATTGGCCTTGTATCGGAAGTGTAGTCTAGATGAGAGGGCTTTTTACATCCGTGATCACTAAACAAAGAAAAATATTCTTTTCAACATACATTTTAGAATAAAAATCTGCAGCAGTGCCAGACAGAATGCAAGCCATACAGTGATCCAGAGTTATGTGCTGTGAGATTTCGTTCTTTGCATTGCTTGAACCTTCTACATAAAAGAGATGTATATGTATTTTCTGATAAACTCATTACCGATTTCAGAATGCAACAGACAAAAAATACGATGATCCCTTTACTCTTTTTGGCGTATGTTTCGTTCTCTTCAGCTTTTAAACCTGCTAGTAAGCGGGATACATGTAGATGTGATTAATTTCATCACTAATTTTAGAATACAACTGACAAGGCATACGATGATTCAGAGCTTCGCGTATGTTTCTTCTATTTAGTGTTCGAGTTTTCTAGAGGTCCTATTTATATAACGACTACGATTCATTGGTTATTCCAGAATGTAACCGATTTGAGTTGCTGGGACAAATGTAGAGATTTTAAGCCAGCGGAATTGCTCGAAACTGTCAACGGGCTTCATTCAAAACAAGAGAATCTAGCGACGATCGTTATCTTCAAGCCAATTCGGAAAGCTACTTTCTATGTAGTACAATATAGAGCACTAGGCGATGCTGACTTTGCACCTCACCAATTTGCGGTAAAACTGAAGAGTTTTAAGCTATCGACTTGAAAAAAACTTTTTTCTTTTTAGATCACTTTACAACCTTTTATCACAAATTTTATGGGACCTAAATCAATCTTCTGTAAATCTACCGAAATACGGTAAGTTCATCCAAATTTCCGCTGATAGCGCTTTAGACCATTTTTTGGCAACCTTAATTGAACATTTTTTCTGTCTTTTATTGGCACATATATAATTCTCATCAAACAAGCTTTTAGATTTATTCCCATGCAAACTTTTAAGCGTGGCAGCTGTTTCACCCTCCGGAATTGGACCTTTTTCCGATATTTTTACACTTGGTCCACCATCTCCAGTAATCAGTTGGAGATTAGAACTAGATAAGATGGTTTATCTAGTACGCTTTACTTTTGATTCAATGGTAAATCGCAAGGATCTCGAAACGAGAAGTTCAGAATACCCCTCTATCCAATGATGGGTATTTCGCCAACGGCACGGTCGAGATTACTTTCAAATATAAAGCTGGAGGTGACTATTAAAATCTAGAATGCAGTCAAGAACATAAAACATTAAATGGTTGTTTTCAGCCTGGCCTTTGGGAATCGAAGATCTTGATGTGATACCAATGTTTGAGCTATTCAGATGCGCAGTACCAAGCTTCCAAAGCGTACCTCATCCCACCTTTGTCAGTTTTGGCCTTAGCGAGAAAGTATAGAGGCAGGTTTCCGGTGAGCATGTTGCAAGTTTTTGGGGAAGAAAAGCAGAGGGAAAGACTGTTGGTTTGTCCTAACAAATTCCCACTTCAACGTCATTGGTGGCTACACACCATGTAAATATGCTGTCCCCAAGAAAGTCTGCCTCAAAGCTTGCAACACGCTATGCGCTGAAAACCCGAATGTGCATCTTCAACATTTCACTTTAGACCGTTTGAGAGCTAATAGGTGTTAAGAAGCCACCAAAATCGGGTGAAGATGCGATATGAGAGATTCAGAAGGATGTACTTGAAATCTTTCAAATATAAGAGTTACCGTATCTTTTCGTGATTCAGTTCTCCGAGAGGGACCTACAGGAGACTCAAGGTCTCCGATTGGCAAATAGAAGTAGTAAACACCTTTCCTTCCCATAATTTCGCTTTCCTTTCAGGCGCACTCTCTTATACAATCTTTCGCTCAATAGACAACCCAGCTCGCAGTCTAAAAGATTTCCTCTTAAAAGAATTCCTCCCTTTCTTGTTAAAAATTCGAGTCACCTTTTATGATAACCCCTTCTATGCAGCACAGGTGGTATATGATTTTTTGCCTAACTTTCGACAGTAATGCCGTTCCCAGAGGCCCGAGAGAAAGTAATTCATTGAGATCATCATTTCATGCTCGTATCCCAAACTTGTGCATTCGTTGGAGCTCATGTCGCCAAGTCTGAAAGTTGTTTTATCACTTTTTT